TTATTCTGGATTAGTTGGAGACATACACTAGGCTATATCAGCCCCACCAAAAATATTTTTCACCAGCCGCCACTGGTTTTAGGTGTAAATAATAACCTTTCGGAATAACTGTTTATGAGCTCAAGTTTCGGAACAGACTTTTCCTTTAATGCAGGATAAGTGAAGTATTGTATAAGATTATAATAGAAATATGTTCAAAGCTTCCCATAACAAGAGAGAGTATTTTAAATACTGAAGTAAATATGAAGCAACTCATTTCAATTATGCTGAAATATCTTATGTGACACAATACTTGTAGATAGAAGCTTCAAAAGAAAGATGACATAAAATTCCAGTTTATAATGACTTAGACAGATTTATTTTGTAATTTTGCATACACAAGTGTAAACAAAAAGAAATGTGCAGCCTTGAAAACAGTAAAAATTACATAAAACAGTAATATAAATATATGACTGTATATTTAGAGTTCTAACATTTCTGGGTTTTTTTAATAATAAAATATAATAAATATGATAAAATAAAATAAAATAACCAATTTGACATAACATTCAGGAGTCTAATGGCGGTGGGGAAGAAACTGTTGTGGAATCTGCTGGACCTGCATCGGATGCTACAAAGCCTCTTCCCAGAGGGCAGCAGGGAGAACAGTCCATGGTGGGGGTGTGAGGGGTCAATGATGATGTTACGGGCTTGGGACACACAGCGCTGGGATGAAATGTCTTTAATGGAGGGAAGAGGAGCCCCAATGATCTTCTCTGCTGTTCTCATCACTCTCCTCACTTTCTTCCAGTCTGAGGCGCTGCAGCCTCCACACCACACAGTGAGACAGCTGGTCAGAACGCTCTCTATGGTGCTTCTGTAGAAGGTGGTGAGGATGGGTGGGGGCAGGTGGGCTCTACTCATCCTCCACAGGAAGTACATGCGCTTCTGTGCCTTTTTGACCAGTGAGGTGGTGTTTACAGTCCAGGTGAGGGTGTCTGTGATGTGCACCCCAAGGCATTTGGTGCAGATGAGCTGTTAAAGAGGAGTGGAGTGTGGTTAGGATGGTTCTTCTTGAAGTCCAAGATGATCTCCTTCATCTTCTCCACGTTCAGGATCAGGCTGTTATCTTTGCACCAGTCCACCAGCTGCTCCACCTCCTCTCTGTAGTCTAGGTCGTTGTCGTCTCTGATGAGGCCCACCATTGGGTGTCATCTGCAAACTTCGTGATGTGATTGATGGTGAACCTGGGGACGCAGTCATGTGTCATCAGGGTGAACAGCAGGGGGCTCAGGACGCAGCCCTGAGGGGAGCCTGTGCTTAGACTGATGACATCAGAGGTGTTCTGTCCAACCCGGAGTGACTGAGGTCTGTTGGTGAGGAAGTCTAGCAGCCAATTGCAGAGGGTTGTATTGAAGCCCAGCTGTTCCAGTTTGCCCATCAGTTGCTGTGGGATGATGGCGTTGAAAGCTGAACTGAAGTCCAGGAACAGCCTCTGCACGTGAGTGTTCTTCTCCTCCAGGTGTGCCAGGCTCAGGTGAAGAGCAGAGGAGATGGCATCCTCAGTGGAGCGGTTTCGTCGGTAGGCGAACTGGAACGGCTCGAATGTTAGCGGCAGACTGGAGACGATGTGTTCTTTAACCATCCTTTTAAAACACTTAATCATAATTGGAGTCAGTGCTACAGGCTGGTAATCATTGAGTGAGACGACCTGTGGCTTCTTTGGGACTGGAATAATGGTGGCAGACTTGAAGCATGCTGGCGCTATGGATTGGTCCAGCGACGTGCTAAATATGTCTGTGAGGACACCAGCCAGCTGATCTGCACACTCCTTTTACACCTGCCCAGGTATGTTATCAGGCCCTGGGTCCTTCCTTTGGTTGACTCTACTCAGAGTTTTCCTCACTTCAGCTACGTCCAGGTTTAGTGTCTCCTCCCCCTGGTGTGGAACAGCTTTCACTGCTGGAGTGCTGTTTAGAGCCTCAAACCTTCCAAAGAAGTTGTTCAGTTCATTTAGGAAGTCAGTGTTTGCTCCATCTACCGGGGGGGGGTGTGTTGTAGTCCATAACCATCAAAATGCCTTTCCACATCCTCCTGTTGTTGTTTTTATCGTGGAAAATATCCTAGATTTTCTGGCTGTGGTTCTGCTTCGCTGATCTGATGGCACGGTTTAAGTTGGCATGCGCTGTTCTCAGTGCCTCTTTATCACCAGACCTAAAAGCTGAGTTCCATGCTTTTAGCGATTTCCAAACCTCTCCATTTATCCAGGGTGGTTGGTTGGCCCGGGTGTAGATATTCTTTTTGATGCTGACGTCCTTAATGCATTTGTTATTGTAGGCTGACACAGTCATGGCATACTCATCAATATTTAATAAGCAATAGGCCAGCTACCATCGATTTAATAAGCTGGGCGGCACATAAACAGCAGCGATGCTAACCACACTGAACTCTCTGGGCAGATAGAAAGGTCTGCAGATAACGGTCAGAAACTCAATGTCTGGAGAGCAGAAGCTGGCGACCGATCTAGCGTTCCTGCACCCGCTGTTGTTGAGCCCACCACCCTGAGTCTTACCGCTTAGTGCTTTGTTCTTATGAGTGCAGTATAGCGTGAGCCCCTCCATGTTAATAGCATTTTCCGCTATTGCTGGATGCAGCCAAGACTCTGTCAGAATGATGGGGCAGCAGCTACATATCTCCTTTTTTAGTGTTTAATATATTTATTCAATTCACATAGTATAAAAATATGAAAGGAATTACAGAAAGGAATNGGATGGATGGATGGATGGATGGATGGATGGATGGATGGATGGATGGATGGATGGATGGATGGATGGATGGATGGATGATAGATCCACCTATATCCCCATGTTCGAGATGTTTAGATGTTGATGATTTCTATTGTGTGAGGAGTTTGTTCTTGTTCTGACCTCCTTCTGCGTCTCGTCCCCAGCCTGCAATGAAACACTTCTTTCCTGCGGTGAAGCTCTGGCCTTCAGCAGGTAAACACACTGGCTGCACCCACTCTGCAACACAGGGAAGTTATAAGATCAGCTATCATCTCTCTGAAAGATAACACTCTGGGTTTAGTCTGAAGGTTACATTTCTGCAGGTTCCATGTGATCATATCCAGGAGTCAGATCAAATGTTCCTGGGTTTTCCTGAAACCTGACAGACTTTAGAGCTTTGTGTGTTTATTGGATGTAATCGATTGCTCTGCAGAATTTACAAAGACGAACATTAACATGGCAAGTTAGATGAATGTCTCTATGCAGACTTCACCGCAAAACCTGACAGATTCCGGAGATACTTACGGGTGAAGTTGATTGGCTGCTGCAGATGCATCATGGCGATGTCGGCGTGCTTTGATAGTCTGTTGTATTCTTTGTGGATTATGATCTGATCAACATATCTGGTCTGAACATCTTCAGAGTACATGTAGGACTGGGCATGAAGACCAAGGAGAGCTGACCAGTACTGCAGATGGATGTTCTTTCTGTGAGACAGAAGAGGATAACTATAGCAGATAGCCACATCTGTTCACCTGAAATCAGTGTCATGATACTTCTCTGACCCGTAGACACAATGCGCAGCTGTCAGCAGCCAGCTACTACCGATCAGCGAGGCTCCACAGACATGGCGTCCCTTCCAATGTAGAGACACCATCCAAGGCCACGCCCCCTTTTCCGCATTTGTTCCACCCACCACTCTTTCCTCACCTGACACAGACAAGCTGCTGTTTGACTAACAAAGTCCTGAACAGGTTAAACTTAGAAAAGTTAAGGTTCTGACCGTCTGCTGATTCACCAACTTCTGATTGATCCAAATCTCCCGTCATGTTGCTGATCAGGCGCAATCCACAAGCTGAGAACCCAAATAAGAAGATTAAACGATAGAGGTCCAACATCTCCCTTTCTTCACTCTAAGATTTACTCACGTTTATTGGTGCAATTGAGGAAAATGACCTCCTCAGTCCTGCAGGTGTCACTGTGGAAACATGTTGTATCATCAGATGGCAGATTCATCTTACCAGAATCTAGTCCTTGCGAAGAGCTCAACATGTATTACACAGATAATGTTTATCCTGTGAGTAGGCCTTTAGTCTAAGAGAACATTTAGGAATGAGTTCTAGTTCTGTATTATACTTCACAATGCTGAATTTTGTTTATTTACAAATTTTAAATCTGGTTGAAGCTCTAGTAGCCTGTAGATGTAGCCTTAAAATCTGCCACCTCTGTAAAAGTTTTTTGATGAAGCCCCAACAGAAGCATTTGGAAAAGAACCTAATGTGTCTGATTCTATGTATAAATTAAGCTGAAACATACATGGAAATGAAGATGATGATTTAAACCATAAAGTCCGTCCCTTTCTAGTTTTTTTAATTGGATCTTGTTCTGATTCTGGTCTTCCCTACCTCACATTTGTTTCTATGGTTCCAGTACTGGTGACTGCGAGAGTTACAAATGGTGAGTCCTGAGGTCCAGCTGGCAGCAGAGCCACTTCTCCTGACCTGCAGAGAGTCAGCGTCAAAACTCACACCGGGTTCTGGTTCTGCTGCTCAGCCTTGTGACCTTAAGAGTTACCTGTGTCCTAGGTACTGACAGATGAAGTCAGACAGATGAGGACTCCAACCGTCAGAGCATACGGTGTACAGCAAGGAGACAACCCGAAAATGGAGGCGACTGGAGCCATTTACCTGCAACATCACTGACAAACAAGCAGGTGAAGAGGAGTTTAGAGGATTAATTTTCTGTTCCTGAAGAAGACCTGAGATCATCAAGTACTGAGTCCAATAGGCAGTCCATGATATTAGAAAGTAGTTCTAAGACTAGTATGGTAGGCAGATATTCCAGTTCTCAGGCTCCTCTTCTTTGGAACCAACTTCAAACCATACTAGGATATCTTACAGAACACAAACGAAGCCCAATATTGTTGGAGGAGTGTTGCCCTAGTGGTTAGAGCAGTTCACTTGTGCTCTGAGAAGGTTGCAAGTACCCGACAGTGTGGTTTTCATCAAGGATGACGATGACGAAATAATTTTGTTGATGCTCCTTTTTTTCATAATGATAACAAAAACTGAAGAGCTAAACATGGATCGTTTAAGTCAATGTGACAGGACTAAATAAAAATTAGCGGGTCTTCGGTCAAAGGTTTAAAATGCATCATTTTGCTGTAATCAGCAAAGCAATGCAGCTGCGTCCTGTTTGATCCCACCTGCAGGATTTGGCACAAGTTGCAGGAGCACAGATGGAACATGGCAGCAGTGGAGGCAGGGCCTGAGTAAATAATCCGGATTGGTCCGGTACTGCGCTTTCAATGCTGACAAATTCTGCTCCGATCTTTCCTCTGTGCTTGTGCAAAAATGTTTTTGCAGACGGAGATCCCAGTCTGCGCTTCCCACTCCACTCTGATAGTTAGCTCTCAGCAGTATGGCTCTTCCTGCTCTCGCTACTTAATAAACTATGTGGCTGATCATCCTCTGCCAATTGAAAAAAACACCTATGTATATCTATCAAGACTGTATTTCTTCCAGCTCACAAGAGGTTCATTCTTCAGTTTTTACCAAAAGGAATCCCTAAGTTATATCCAAATAAAATATTTTATTGAATTCAGTTTTTTTTTTGGCAGCTCACTGTTCCCCAAGGGGATGTGTTAAATGCAGGGAGTGCATTTCGTTGCTCTGTACTTGTGACAATGTAATGACAATAAAAGCTTGGACATTTTTCTTTAACAAAATGAAAAGATTCTGTATTTAAGAAGAAAAACCCTTTACTGTCCTCCAGAGCCACTCCGGTAATAGTTTCTCCTGTTTCAAGATCTGAAAAAATGTCCCGTTAAGTATCTGTTGCTATCTGGTTATTAATCTTAATTATAAACAGTAATCATATTGAACGTTTAGCATGTTAAGAAATAGCTGCAGCAACGGTTAAAGCTCTGTTCTGAAAACATATCTAGACAGAGACAAAGACCAGGTGTATTGAACCGGTGGAATGAGTAACCAGTCAGTGACATACCACAGTCTGCTTCATCAGAACCGTCAGGGCAGTTGACCACGCCATCACAGTGAGCGTTACCATGGATACAAGCTCCCATCTGACACTGGAACTGACCGACTGCACATGGAGCTGTTGATAAACAGACCAAAACATCAGAAAAAAAAACATCCCCACCATGTCTGTGAAGATTCTCAGTCATCATGGTCATGGCCAATCTCAAAAAGTTCAGTTCATTGCAAATGAATGTGAAGTTTTCTAGAATATTTGTTATACCTACAGTATATTAATCTCAGTGTTCCTATCATCAGTTAGAATTGAGGAAGCCTCTTCGATGAGAGATAAAACTTCTTCCAGAATACTTCACATCCAGTTGCCTAAACTGAACCTTTCAAGCATCACCATCATGAGTCTCTGAGGTGTGGTAATCTCACCTGGAGACCCCAGGTCCACCCCTCCAGTGAAGTTAGCTCTGAATCCTCGACCATAACCCCCGCTGTCCGTAAAGAACCAGATGGTCATCTGACCAGATGTGGAGAAGAGGTCGTGGGCGGGGCCTGTGCTGCCAGTGAGAACAGCTGGAAGGAAAACGTCAGAGACGACGGGTGAAACCGGAGATCCAACATTCTGAAACTCAGAGTCGATATTGATTGAGTATCTGGATCGGATATCGGATGAATGATGCCGATGCAATGTTCCCATCCAATCATTTCTATTTTAAATGATATCACATACAGATATACTGTCACAGTGACCCAATGACTTCAGTTCTATGATTGCTGCTCTGATAACATCATCACTCAGAGCAACACAGCTGCTCGAGATATTTATATCTGTTTTTATTTGTTCTTTTTCAAAACTATGTTTATATGAAGCATGGTTCCTTTACTCACGAGATGAACGATTAATTCATTCAACAGTAGAATTAGATAGGTTCAGGATATTGGCTTATACGCTCAGCACATCTATCAGTATTGAACTGGATTAGGAAAAAAATGTGATCGTGCATCTCTAGGTGAAACATCCACTCACCCAGTATGGTCGAATTGGGCCCCGCCCCATCTCGCACCTCCACCATGTCATAGGTTGCCTCCACATCAAAGTCCAGAAAGTGGAGCTGAATGTTCTGACCGTCCAGAGCATGCAGAGTCCACAGACCTGCAGCAGATAGTGAGGGGTTTATATGACAGGTGACAGGTAAACAGGTGAGTTCAGGGCAGATGCACTCACACTTTGCCATGTTTCCATATGAATGTGGGTAGTTTGGAGAGCTGAAGGTAGAATTTGGCTCCCAGAGGTCAAAAGGTCCTCCACAATCAGCTGGAACAATCAGAGAAGAGGAAGTGGCTTAAGACAGTATTTGAGAAGATGTCTCTCCTCAGGTACAGTGTTCACTTCAACGGTTACACAACTAGAGCACACTGGCCTCAATATTCAAAGAGGTCAGGCCTGGCCTTGACCCCACCCAACATACAAGGCCTTAAATGTGGCTCATATGAGGGGGTTGTCCAGGGGCGGATCCAGGATTTTTCAAAGGGGGGTGCGCACCTAAGGGTCATGGGGTCGCGGGGTCAAGACAATGTGACGCTAAAAGACCAAAGAATACCATCTTCACTCTTTCACACTACCCTAATTATTCATCCAAGGGTTTTTAACTGATAATTTTAATGGATGAACATAAGTAGAATTAGCATGATTACATTATTGTAATTAAAAAAGGATCTCTCGGTTTTTAAAGCATGCACAAGGTTAAAAAGGTAGTTTGAAGAAAAAAATGATCCTTATCAACAATTAATCAAACAAGGAGTTTCTTTATTTCCAGAAATGATATTTACACAGAACATGAAATTAAAAAAACCCAAGGACTTGGGTTAAAGTATGGTTCAAGTAAGACAAATGAGTTTTGAATATATTTTAACAAGATAAACTGTTGAAAAACAAAAAAACACAAAGTTAAACCAGACAAAGAATATTGTTTTCTACTACAAACTTTATGATGATGATAATGGGTTTACAAACCTTCTGGGATGCTTCTGGGCAAATATGTCTATGATTTTGTTGATGTCCAACTGAATGTCCTTGAGCACATACAAAAGTAGCAAAGCCACAAACATTTCCTGTCCCATTGTTGACCTCAGCAAAGTTTTCACTGCTTTAAGACCCGAGTTAGCACGTTCCACAGAAGCACTGGTAACAGGTATGACTGACAGAAGGTGAAGAATCATATAAATGTTTAAGTGGATTCAGTGGAGTTTCAAACTCCACTGAATCTTATGAATCACATGCAGGCACGATTACCAAGTGCATTCTAAATAAATGATCATGATGAATGGACTGTTAAACACTCCTGAAGATGAAGCCAACTGCATCATTCAATAGCTCTTTTTTATTTTTATTTCTCATACAAGGAACAAAACAGAAATTTCTGAAAAATATATATATATTTTTTTTACCTAAACAGTGTCGGATCTAGACCAAATTCAAACTCAAATATATTAAGAGAGCTACATGAACTGAAATTTCTTTTCAATTAGTTTCAATAAAAATTCTATTTCTTATGAGGTCAGTATACATTTATTATTTAGGAATTTTACATATTTTTGACTTAATTTAAATTAAAAGTATCGTTTTCTTTAAATTTTGAATTAGAACTGTTAAACTGTTAAATTCATCTGTAAAAATTAGAGCATTTTTTTTATCACCCGGTATTTGTTGTGAAAAAAAACATTTAACAAATGAAAACTGGGATCCTATCTCAATACCACTGAAGCTATCACCTTATTGTTTTTGAATAATTAGTAAAACACTCTCAGTGTTCATCAAATGCAGGTTGTTTGGCAACAGTTTTAAGCCTAGTATGGCGGCTGCGGACATAACGCTGAAGCGTGAGTCAAGTTCTGAAATGAGACTGTCTAGAAATGCGTGGCGAGACCTGGGTGTTGCAATTCAAATTCATGCAGATATCCGGTGTCTCAACCGTCACGTCGGCGTCATAGCACATTCCAGATGACAGGTAATGGCTACTAATCTTAATTCTATGAAGGATGTTTAAGATTTCGGCCTCTTAAAAAAAGTACTTTTGGTCTCCCAAAGGGGGGTGCGCGTGCGTTCATGAGGCAAGATCACTGACTGACTTGTATGATCTGTGACCCACCTGGTATGGGGGGCATTGTGGTTGGAGGTGGGACGTTGGTCGGCTCAGGGGGGGCAGGGCCACAGATATCAGACTTGAGTGTGATGTCATCAAGAGCAATATCATTCCACATGCCTCCGTTCTTCACAGCTTCAAACTGTACCTGCACAGGTATCATGATCAGCTAGGCCACCAATGAGACTGCTTGTTGTAAGGATTTGCTTGACAATATCACTGACCATGGCCTCAGAGGTCAGGTTAAGGGTCACCTGGCCGTAGTTCCAGGTGTCACCAAAGTTACCATCTTTCTGGAAAAGCACAATGACGTCAGAGTCTGGCAGAGAGGTAGACGGGATGAGGAGGACTCTGAGACGGTAGACATCGTCACCAAACATATGATACCTGCAGAGATGCCAAGGAGTTTACTCAGAGAAATAGAATAGAACAAAACAGAGCATAAAAGAACAGAATGGAATAGAAAATAATAGAATAGAACACAATCAAATAGAATAGAACATAATAGAATTGAACAAAATAAAATAGAAAATAATTGATAAAATAGAACAGAACATAATAGAATAGAACAGAATACAATAGCATAGAATAGAACAGAATTAAATAGAGCATAATTAATAGAATATAACAGAACAGAATAAAATAAAATGGTATATAATAGAGTAGGACAGAATTAATAAAACAGAACTCAACAGAAAAGAAAAGAATGGAACAGAATAGAATAGAATAAATGTATGTTATTGTCTGTGAGGGGCATTTCTTACTTCAATTCCTACTAAGGTTCTAACATACGTCCAGCTAGCAGCAACATGGAAATGCTCCTTTATGAATCTAATGAAATGTTTGCTGAAGACATTAAAGTCTGATGTCTTTATTTAAGCTCATTTTAGCAGAATTATTCCTCAGTAACAGATACAGCATCCAACCAGGGTCTGATCTCCATCTCCTAACAGAAATCTTTGAAGCTTTTCACTTCATCTTCAACAGGCTCTTCCAGAAAAGAACATCCAGCTCTTCCTTGTGCAGATCTAATCTAAGAAGCAGGAGAACCCTAGTTGGTCCAAACAGATTCGATCCATGCTGAACAACAGGATCGTTTCACAGACTCATTGTTTCATGATTTCAAATCATGGAAACAGCCTCCTAACCTTCTGAAGCAGAGAAACCAGGGTATGCTGGATCTAACCCCAGTACTCACTCTAGGTTGCCACAAACCCGGGCCCTGTGGTAACAGAACTTTGCTCTAAATATACTCCCTACTGTACATTCACTGACAGAACTTAGAATGTGTTTAACTTCATAAAAAGTATGACAACATATGCAGATCAGCATAAATCAAGCATGTTTACATGTTTGTTGTTTACCAGAAGCTCAGGCACATGGGCGGTGTGGGCGGAGTCAGTGGAGGGCTCTGGATCCTGAAGCTCTTCCGCCATTGGCCAGGACTTGGAGCAGTGACGATGTAGAAACCTATCAGAGATCAAGACTAGTTTCTAGAGAGATCGTTCCTTTGATGACCACCTGTTCTCACCTACCTGAGCTGTTCCCAAAGGTATGATCAGCACTGGGGCCCGTTGATGGAGGAAAGGTGGAACCACTGGTTCGGAACCAGTCACCTTCATCATCCTGCTGCTGCCTCCAAAAACACAGTCCGTCCTCAAAGCTGCAGCTGAGCCTCTCCTGGTCTGAGAGAGACAGAAGGTCCAGTAGAGGTTTGGTTCTATACACAGATCAAGGTGGGTTCTATTTGTAGGGAGGCCTGGTTCTGCTTTTAGAACAGGCTTGCTTCTGTGTTTTTAAGGCTTGGTTCTGTTTATAGAACCGGCTAGGTTCTGCCTTTAGAGCAGGCTTGGCTCTGCTTTTAGAACAGGCTTGGTTCTATCTTTAGGACCAGCCTTGTTCTGTCTTTAGAATCGTTTTGGTTCTGCCTTTAGAACCAGTCAGATTATGCCTTTAGAACCAATCTGGTTCTACCTTTAGAGCCAGTCTGGTTCTGCCTTTAGAACAGGCTTGATTCTGCCTTTAGAACGTCCCTGGTTCTATCCTTAGAGCCAGTCTGGTTGTGCCTTTAGAACAGGCTTGGGTCTGGCTTTAGATTTGGCCTTGTTCTGTTTGTCGGGCTGCTTGCCTTTCTTACCGGACAGTTCTGAAGTGTCGATTGCTGTGTACGAAGCCTTGAATCCCGATAAACTGTTGAACTCATCAGTTGTAAACTCCACACTTGATTGGTCGCTTAGTAGCCAAACAGTACCAGGAGGGGTGGAGCCGGAGAGCTCAGCTACCAATCAAATTAAAGGGGGAGTGGCTCATTAGAACTTGTTCTTGCCAGCTATAACTGGCTATAAACTGTCAGTTCTATCAGGTTCTGGTCTCCTACCTGTTAGAACTTTGTTCGGTCCAACTCCTTCATATATCCTCAAGGTATCGATGTTTGTTTCAGTCTCAAATTGACTGAAGGTAAACTGAACTGAAAATCCCCTGCTTACCCTGAACACATCATGAGAGAACAAAATTACATAATGGCCCCTAAAAAGGAGACCTGACATTTAAAACCTGTGATCCAGTGGGTCTTTGAGACCTGATTATCCAGCGGCAAAACATGCTGTTGTTATAGGTCTCAGCAGCGGAGGATCTGAAGGAACCGCTTAAGCCCTCCAGCAGGAACTGTCCATCACACGGCGTGACTGAGGAGACACAGGAAGACATGTCAGTACCTGGAGCCATGGTGCTACCGCTGGGCCTCATCATCACCTAAGATCTTTGATTATCAGAAACATTCACTGACCACAGGAAATGGTAGCTTCATCAGATGAGTCTGAACAGTGAGGGACTCCATCACAGAGATAGTCACTCGGAATGCACATGGACCCGTCAGAACATGGCGTCTGTCCAGGTGGACAAGTCACTGGAAGAAAATTGGTTAATTAGGAACTTTCTATNTCATCGGATAGCAGAAGCGGGTTAAATCTCCACATTCGTCTGTGCATCCTAGCGTCTGGTATATTCAGTTTAAGTAAGAGGGGGGCATGGTCCGATACTACAATAGGTTGGTATTCACAAGATTGAACATCAGATATCAACTTATTGTCAGTAAAGAAATAATCAATTCTACTGTATGTTTGATGGGCATATGAGAAAAAAGAATACTACCTATCAGTTGGATGGAAGAAACGCCAAATATCAGAGATGCCATAGGTTGAAAGAAATGACTGCATATAAGAGATAGATTTAGGTGTTACATAACCCAGCCTTACAGATGACCGATCCATCCCCGGGTCCAGACAGAAATTAAAATCACCGCCCATGATAAGCAAGTGCGAATTCAGGCAAGGAAGCAAACTGATTACGCGGGAGCATAAACATTGGCTAAAATAACGTCAATATTATAAAGCTTACCAGTCACTATAACATATCTCCCATTTGGGTCAGCTATGGTTGTGGATGGAATAAAAGTGATATTTTTATTAATCAGAACAGCAACACCTCTAGCCTTGGCCTGAAAAGTTGAATGGAACAGCTGCCCCACCCATCCACATTTAAGTCGAGCATTGTCAGAATTTTTCAGATGTGTTTCCTGGGTGAATGCTATTCCAGCACCCAAGTTTTTGAGGTGTGTGAGAACCTTCTTCCTCTTAACAGGATGAATCAGCCCTTTAACATTCCAAGTAATTATGTTTAATGAGTTAGCCATTTATAATGATAAATAAGGCTATTAACCAGAAAACTACACATTCCTTGTCTGTTTTACAACATAAAAAGCGCAAAAGTATCCTGGTAGAAAACAAAAATAAATAACAAAATCAGTGAAATGCAGCACTTTGGTCAAACAACGACAGTGGAGAAAAGACCTACCCCCGAACCCCCAGGTGACACTAGCTGCTAGAACGAGCAGCACACCTACACTAACAAACTGCATTACTCCCGTAACTAAACTAGCTTAGAACGTAAAAAAAGCTCCTCCATCCCGCTTAGGTAGATTATAAAATAAGCCCACCATAATAGTAAGTTAGATTGTAAGACCCGCATAACTATAAAATACAAATTCAAATGAACACCAGTAACAAACCACCAATGAATTGTAACAATACTCACGCCGTAAAACTGAAGCAATTACTGAACTAATATGCAGTGCTAAGAAGTATCATTCACGATTTCTTAAAGTCTTGAGCAAACTTCTCAGCCTCTGCCACAGAGCCGAGTGAGACGCGTGTACCGTCTGTGTTGACAATCCGAAGCCGGGCAGGATACAGTAGCGAAGGTTTCAGTCCCAACCCGTACAGAACTGACATAACCGCTGCGTATTTCTTCCTTTGACTGACCACCTCGGGGCTGCAGTCCTCGTAGATTCTGAAAGGATTATTTTGGTACATTAAAGTTCCCCTTTTCCTGGCCTCCCGGATCACCAGCTCCTTGTTTTGGTACCGATGGAAGCAAATGGTGACCGGCCGAGGCCTGCCACCAGAGCCTGGTTTGGGAGCCAGACTGCGGTGCGCGCGGTCCAGTTCTGGAGGAGAAGGGAAAATGTCCCGTCCAAAAACATCCTGCAGTAATTGCGAAAAGAACTTGCATGGTTGTGGGCCTTCACTGTTTTCTGCTATGCCAATTAAACGGAATTTCCCCCTCCTACTTCTCCCTTCCAAATCAGTTAGCTTAGCCCTTAGCTTGGTGTTATCATCCTGAAGAGATGTGCAAAGATCTTCAACCATGGACAGACGTTGGATAAGCGACTCCGTATCGTGTTCAAGGGAATCCAAACGTTCGCCATGGCTGTTAACAGTTTGTTGGAGCCCGTCCAATTTGTTATTCACTTGATCAAATGCCTTTCTCATCTCGTCCAACAGGGCTGTCTTGAGGTCGGTTAGCGAGTGTGCTAGGTCAGCTTTGCTAATACTGCTA